TCCGGACTGTTTGCTGGTTCGACGAATAAATGTCTCTTCTGTGACAAACCTCATGAAAGCCAACTTTGTGCGAAGGCAGCTTCCATGAATCTGGAGAACCGGAAAAAGGTCGTGACAGAGAAGAAAGCGTGCTATGTTTGTTTGAAGACCGGTCACGGGTCACAAAGTTGCAGAGCTGTTGTAAAATGTGTCTTCTGTCAAAGGAAGCATTGTGTGTTGCTGTGCTCAGAAGTAGAGAAGACTCGATCGCTACCCGAATCTACCCCGGAGCAGACGCCTACTCAAACCACGCCTGCGATGTCTAATCTGCAGTGTTCCGGAGATGTTATATTACAGACGGTGTACGTGAATTTGGAAAACAATGGCATGCGTCGGAGAGTTCGACTTGTATTTGATGGCGGTTGTCACAGATCTTACTTGCTTAAGAGCACTGCAATCAAACTTGGCTTGAAAACAGTCGGAACCTTGAACATGTGTCACATTCTATTTGGATGTCCCCGTGAGGTCAGGCAACACCAAGTGTACCGAGTCAGTATTGAAAGCCTGGATGGTTCCGTTCAGACAACGTTGACGTTATTAGACCAAGAAAAAATCTGCGGATTGTTACCAAGGGCTAACAAGCACAGAGTGATTGAGGACCTCAGGGACAAGAAGATATTCGTAAATGACATTGGAGAAGGTTCACCCGAGATCGAAGTCTTGATTGGAGCCGACAACTTCGCGTCGTTGTTGACAGGGAGAAAAGTAAACTTGAGATGTGGTCTGATTGCGCTCGAGACGGCGTATGGATGGACACTGACAGGAAAGTTAGAGGTGTATGAGTCCAACAGTGCGTCGCTAATGGTGTATACTTCCATGATGGCGGAGAGTGACATAACTAATTTGTGGGATTTGGAGCTTATAGGCATTCGAGAACCAGATCTTCACAAACCACAAGGAGAAAGAGATGCGGAAGTACGGCAACACTTTTTGGGGACCGTCAATAGGATTCCAGATGGAAGATACTGTGTTAGGCTGCCTTGGATTGATGAGTCGAAGCAGATGCCGGACAATTTTGAAGTTGCGAAGAAGAGGCTTGATGGTACCTGGAGAAAGTTACAGTCAATGAGTATGGTGGAGCAGTATGACAGGATATTCCAATATTGGATTTTGGAGGGAATTGTTGAAGTGGTGCCAGATGAAGAACGAAACAATCGCGGGCATTATCTGCCCCATCGACCAGTAGTAAAGCTTGAAAGTCTGACAACTCCAATCCGTCCTGTATTTGACGCCTCTTGCAAAGATGGGCGTGCACCGTCGTTAAACGAGTGCTTAGCTAAAGGGCCCAATTTGACTGAGCTCCTACCGACTGTATTGAATCGATTTCGTTGTGGTGATATTGGTGTCTCAGCTGACATACGAAAAGCGTTTCTGATGATCGAGGTGGCTACTGAGGACCGAGACTCCCTTCGGTTTCTATGGTGGGGGGGAGGATGTGAAGACCATTTGATAATACTGCGACACACACGGGTTGTATTTGGCGTCAATTGTAGTCCTTTTTTGCTTGCAGCCGTAATCCAATTTCATCTGTCTAGGGTAGGTCCTGAAAACCGAAAAGTAGCAGAGAAGTTATTAAAGTCTATGTATGTAGACAACGCCTTGACAGCTGTCAACTCAGTGGAAGAGTTGAGGCGCTTCAAAGACGACGCCATCCGCTTAATGGCTGAGGCAAAGATGGAATTACGACAATGGGCCTGGTCTGCCGGGGAATTAACCGGTGAAGGAATTTTGGTGACAGGGACAAACGACGTGGATCTGTCCAGCGAGTCTTATGAAAGAGAAAAAGCTCATCTGACTCCAGTGCTCGGCATGATGTGGGATCAAAGAGAAGATGAGATGTGGTTGGAGTGGAAGAATCAGGAATCTCTTGCGGTTATCTCCAAGCGTACAATTTTGTCGATAGTCAGTCGAGTCTATGATCCAATCGGGGTTTTGTGTCCTGTCCTTCTGAAGCCTAAGAAGATGCTGTAACGAGCGTGGTTGGCAAAGAGATCTTGGGATGAAGCTTTGGAAGAGGAATTAATTTCCGAGTTTAAGACCTGGTACGAGGAGCTATTTTACCTCTCAGTCAGCTATTCGCATCCCTTGGAACGTTACCGGAGGCAATATCGATCGTAAAAACTGGCAGTTACATGTATTTTCTAATGCTAGTCAGGATGCTTATGCAGCGGTCGTTTATCTGCGAACCCAGGGGATTGATGGTGTTTCAGTGCAGCTGATTCAAGCCAAAGCTAAAGTAGCTCCGATCAAAAAGGTCTGTATTCATCGTTTGGAATTATTTGGGTGTGTCATCGCGGTCAGACAGGCTACAAACGTGAAGATATCTTTGGAACTCGAAGAAGTACCGACGTTTTACTGGACTGATTCTGCAACAGCCCTAGCGTAAATTCGTCGTAACGACCAGTGGGGTACGCTGGTCGGCAATCGAGTGAAGGAGATCCTGTCCTGCTCTAATGTTGAAAACTGGCGCCATGTTCCTGGGAATCTTAATCCGGCAGATCTGCCGTCGGGGCTGTACGGCGAAACAGCTCAGGGTTTCTAGATGGTGGATGGGCCCAGCTTGGTTGAGAAATGGACCGCAGGATTGGCAGTTCGTAGAAGAGAAGCCTAATGAAGAAGTGGTGGCTTCGGAGAAAAAGAAAGCTACGTCTGCATCGATGATCAACGTTCCTAAATATGTTCGGAGTAAGGTTGAGTACCTTTGAGAAGAATGTCCGAGCCTTAGCTTATATCCTGCGGATTGTGGCTTGGTGCAAAGCACCAAAGAACTCCGGGTTTCGCTTAAGTGACGAACTGACGACCGAGGAGCTCAAGAAAGCGGAGCTAAGATTAATGTGGTTAGTTCAACAGGAATTGTTTGAAACGGTGGGAGCAAGTTTTCATGGTCTGGAGATATTACTTGGGGAAGATAAACTGATACGAGTCAAGACTAAGCTGGTTCATCGCGACGATTCGGTGGGCCTC